TTTACCATTTTGGATTCTGATGAAAAGCTGAAAGCTGTGTTTTATTGTGCTTCAACTCATAAGCTGCATTTATAAGTTCAAAGTAGCGATATTGGTGTTGGTATTGGTAATCGATACCAACATTTTAGTATCACACAGCACTACTTTGGTACACTGACCTATGATTTCTCCTGTGACTTGTATCTATGAGAGCTAATTTTGAAAGTTCAGAAGTTTCAGACTTGGAGTTGTAAAATCAAAAAGCTTGTCCTGATTTAAATTTGGTTCAAGGTCTTCCTGTAAGCCCCTGGGCTGTTTTCATTTTTAAACCTTTCAGTAGAAGTCCTGTTCTGAACATTTGTACTTATGTGAGCCAGACCTCTATGCTCATGTGACCAAAAGACCTTTTCATTGCACATGTGCCATATATTACGCTGCCACACCTCACGGTTCAGATCGTTCCTGCTGAATTTTTTTCCTCAGCCTCTTTGGGCTGTTATATTACAACTCTGCACTGACAGCCTAACACGAAGCCCTTGGGCTTGGGAACAGTGACTTTTCCACTAAAAACTGCAGAAAATTGCTCTGCTCTCTCATCACCACCTCCGTGTGAAATTCAGGTTAATTTGAAACATAACTTCACTTTTCCTCTGCACAAATTTGAGGTCTGAGGAGAAATTGTTGAGTGCACAGTGGAGGTGGTCATAACTAGACTTCAAGGGAGTGATCAACAAACAGGAAACTGGAAATCCACCAAATTCAAACAAGGTAAGGTGCCTAAATTTCACAAACCTATTCCCACTTTTTGACTGAATCTTATAAACTTGTTGCCCACTGAAGGCCCCCTGAATTTAAAATTATAGCTGCTATGTGTTGAATGTAACAGTTTGTGACTTGGACATCCTTCCTAGAGTTACCACAAGGAAAAGACACTGGCATTCTTCAGTTATGCTGACAGTGTAATAACTATGTAAGTAATTGTTGAGAACAAGGGCAGAAAATAACAAGCTCCAGCGGCAAACATGAATAAACTGGAGTCATCCTTTAAGAAATTCTTTGAAGCAATAAATTACTTTTTGGCTTTCAGGAGCCTCTGTGGCCGCAAGTGGTAATTGCAGGCCACTGGTGCATTAAATTCTGTTGTGATCTGAGTCTGAGTGGCTCCACTTCCAAAACCCCCTTGGAAGCCTTTCAGTTGCTCATGCATTCAATTCCAAATCATCAACCCAAGCCAACAATTTTGCTGTCCATTCATTTCAAGTTAGCACATGGGTAATCTGATTGCGGTGAACGAAAGCAGCCACAGTCGCAGACGTTTGGTGGTCAAACATAAGCTCCCAGAGGAGTCGCTCTTCTTCTTTTGCAGGACGCTGCCATCTCTGACTTATTTTTTTTTTTAATCCTTGTCCTACTATTAGACCGAAGCCATCTTTTGAAAAACAGCCTCTGTTTACTTTTCTCTTGCTAACATACACTTCTGACCTTTCATTCAGCTTTCATTCAGCTGCGTCACATTTAACTTTAGATGCTGCTGCACTGCAGTAATAAATAAACTCCTTAAAGACTTTGTTGATGGATGCGATCACACTAGCCGTGCACAGCCACTGAGGCAACAGAATAGCCACAGCACGCCGCGCGGCAAAGCTTCACTTTGTGTAAGCTTGTGCTAAAAGAACATCATGACAGGAAACAGCAACACCACCTTTCTCCTCTCCCTTCTCTCCCTCTCAAACACACACCGGCTGCACAGTATATTCTGTGTTCTTCTCACTCGGTTTTTTCTACGCTCTCCTCGTCTCTCACCGCTCCCTGCATCTGCTCTCAGCTCGCAGACAGGAAAGTGTGAATTATGGCTAATCACGGCTGAAACTCAGATAATTGGATGTGTGCTTACGTCACCTCTCTATTCACACGAAAAATCCTTAATTTATAAGCGAAACCTTTTCCTTCAGTTCACCTGTTAGAAGAAAAGAGACCGCGACACAAACAAGACAGCCTTGTTCATCACATATATTAAAACATACTTTATAACAAGGTATTTACAGCATATTCCATTTGACTGTTCAGCTCTATATAACTACTTCATGTACATGGAATAAAAAATGTTTTTTTTTAATGTGACAGTTGAACTATGTACATTCACAAAACTATATGCCTCAGCTCTCAGGAAAATACTATCTGGAGTCTTCTGAACCTTTTCAGAAAAGCAATTTACAGAGTCGCCTCTTAAATGTCTGCCTTTACTTCTCCTCTCGCTCGTTGCTGGTGGTTGAGACTCCTTACACCGAGGCTCATTTTAGAGATTGCCACCAAGACTTCTTTTTTTACAGCCTAGTTGTAAAAAACATCGTCCTCGGATAAGGAGCTGCTGTCTACGTGTCGGACAGCGGCTTCTGCAATCACAGTGCTTCTGTCCTGAATAGGATGATCTCTGTCCTGGGCGTTGGACATCAGGGAAGCGGAGCTGATTGGTGGTGGTGGAGGGGGGACCAGGTTGACTGCAGTGTTGTTGCCATACGCCTGGGTGTGAATGCTGTACAGATGCTGAGGGACGCCAACGCTTCCACCATCAAGCAGGAACTGAGACAGGTAGTGGCTCTGTGCTGCTGTGGAGGGGTATCAGTATCAGTCAGATGGTAGCTTTGTAAAAACAAAAGGAAAAAAAAGGATCTGGATTTCACAAACAAGTGAGTCATCACAGGTTGCTGTGATTTTTTAAGAAGGTCTTTACATACACGCTGCTCAAATCAGATGAAAAAAAAAGTTCTATTTTTCTAAACCACCTGCTGCACAGCACTCGACTGTTGCCTTGGATAACACAACACTGTGACCTATTTCCTTCTGAAAATATATATAACTATGTGAAGACGTGCGTGCGAGTACATATTTTTGATATGAATGCCTGGATTAAGGGTAAATGATCTGGTTACCTAAACAGCAGGTGTTTATTAGTGTCACCGTGTGGAGTGGAAAGTAGTGGACCCAAATGCAGATGACTGAAATGTGGAAATTGAACTGGATTATAATAAAAGACGTAACTTTTGTTGAAGCCGAAAAACAGAACAGGAACCAAACATGAAAAACCAGATGAATTCAATTCAATTCAATTCAATTCAATTCAATTTTATTTATATAGCGCCAAATCACAACAAAAGTCGCCTCAAGGCGATGAATGAGATCAATGAATGAGAAACTAATCACAAAAACCTAAAGTGGGAAAACCAAATACACGAAAACCAGGAACACCAGGAACACATGAATACCTGAGACACGAGGAACTTGGAACACGGGGAGATAACAGACAAACTGACGGGGAACAAAGCAGAAGACACACACTATATACACAGAGGGTAACCAGGGAATACACAACAGAAGGAAGACACAGCTGAACCTAATCAGACATGACGAGTTAGGGAGGAAGCAAAACAAAATACACTCACACAGAACTATCACCATAAAACAGGAAACCAGAGACTCACACTGAGATGCGGATTGACAGAACATAAGGAAGAGAGGGAGCAAAAGATGTGACCGGGAAACAGATGAATGAACATGAAGACAGAACCAAACCTACACTGAATCATTACACTCTAAACGTGGGAGGCACGGGAACAAACCTAAGGAAAGGCTGAGGAAATTTGAGATGTCGGCCAAGAACTGCGGAGAACATCACCAGGACCCCGCTGCCCTCTCTGCAGAGCATCTACCATCACAGAGTCCAGAGGAGAGCTGCCTCCATCCTTAGAGACCCCACACACCCCTCAACATGGACTGTTCGCACTTCTGCCCTCAGGACAAAGGTTTAGAAGTGTGAAATCCAGAACATCTCGACTCAACAACTCCTTCTTCCCCACTGCTATCAGACTCCTGAACAGCTAAACCACCTCAACCGCAATTTGCACATCAGAACAATTTGCACACTAAGTTCATCGTTCACATTAAGCTCCTTTGTACATCCTTTTACATTAACAACTCCATACCTCACTTGTCTTCATTTACTTATTTTGTACTTATTTATCTTTCACTATTTTTTTTTACCTTATTTATCTTAATACCTTGTCTTATTCTTATCCTTATTTATCTTGTTCCTTCGACCCTACCTAACTTGGCATTTGTGTATGGACAGCAAAGGAAGAATTTCATTGCACAGAGAAATGCTCTTTCTTCTGTACACATGACAATAAACACTTTGAATCTTGAATCTTTGAAACCTAAGACCTAGAAATCACCCAAATGTAACCAGAAACTAACTGAAACAAAGCATGACTCCATACTGTGACAATAAGGAGATGTTTCAGTTGGTGAAGTTTCCTTTAAGTTGGAATTTTAGGCAGTAAGTTTTTTTTTATTTCCTTACAAAACAGCTAACAGAAAAAAGACAAAGAGTCATGCTAAACAGAAAGCACGTCCTCCTTTTGTTCTAAGGTTTTATGTGTAAGAACATCACAAAAAAGAATACAAACTAGATAAATACAACCTCGGCTGAACAACAACACGTGAGATATTACACCGTATCTTATTCAACAAATACCAAGCCAAAATTCAGGAGTAGTGTGTGACAACCTGAGTTCATCCCATGACTCAATAGCTCCAGAACCTTCAGCTGTCGTGAGTTTAAGTAACAGTTTTCTAGCTGACTATCAGCCTCTCAGTGGAGGAACTGTGGCCCACTTTTCCTTACAGTGTTGCTTTAGTTCACTGACACTTGTTGACATGTGTCCACACACAGCTTTCTTATGATCCCACCACACCAACTTTGGTGTGGAGATTATTTCATGGTGCAACGACTCTAAGGTGCCCAGGTGCTGCAAAACAAGCTCAAATCATCACCCCTCCATCACCGTGCTGTGCTGATATGCTCTTTTTGGTGTTGTGGTGCTGCACGTTATAGCCAAACACCATTGCTTAAGGCAGAGTTTCCCAAAGTGTTGGGCCCGCCCCCTAGGGGGGGCACAGAGCCATTGCAGGGGAGGCGCGATATGAAAAGGGGAAAAAAACACAAAACGCTTGGATACTGCTAGCACGGGGCGCCCACA